CATCCGACTGCCCCCCCCCCCCACCCCCTTCCTTAATATTCACAGTCTCAGATCTGTAACGCATCCTCCTCACAGGATTCTCCCAGTGGCACTTCCCAGACTCAGCAGACTGCGTGTGAATTCCAAGGCCTAACTGATAAGCCCTCTGAATGATTAACCTCTGCCCCCCCCTCCCACCCCCCCCTTACTCACGGCAAGGCATTAACAGCAGTGAAATGCAGCACTACCAGAGTTAATCTGTAGGGGGCGATAAACACTATGGGGCAGCATGGAAGCTCATTTGTTCACCTTACACCTCCAAGGCCTAAGGTTTAGATACACCCCCCTTTATTCTGGCCGGAAGGCAGTGCTTCTCCGGGGCGTCCCTCAGTGTTTGCCTGTGTGCTGCATGAGACCTTATTGAGAGGAAATGAACAGATGTTGTTTTTCAGAAGGAGAACGAGGTCAGTGATGTTGGGATGGTACCCGGTCCCATTTTCCGCATTAGCATCAAAGTGTCAGAGAGAAACCGGAAAAGTAATGTCTGGACAGTCCTGTGTCATCCTGGACATACGGAATTCTTATTTATTAATTTATTCCAACAGATTGTGAGATGAGTCATCACACAGCAGCCAGTGCTTTCAGTGCTTTCTTAACAAAGGCTTGTTTGGGGAATTCCACACTGTCTCAGATACAGGGGTGGGCCTGTGAGGTCACATACCTGGTGATACCCCCCCACACACACTGAGCCATGACTCACAGCCCCGTCACTGAGGCGACCTCCTCACGGCTCTGTATCATTCTGCACTTTCAGGACCAGCAATGAAAGGGAGCGTCTGAGGCAGAACCCCACACTGATTAGCGTATTTTTGGTTCCGTTGATCCCGGGGGACTGTTTCAGTTCGGCATGGAAAAAAGTGGGATGTCATGAAATACAAAGAGTTACTTTAGTTCAACGCCCGGGAACAGAGGGTCTGTTATCTCTCTCGTCTAGCAGCTCTCTGACATCACGCCACCATCACTCATCGCTTTTTAAGTCATCGACACTGGAAACAATACTCAGTCACTCTATTGCACTTTCAGAAACCGTTTTACAAAATCTCCCATCCGTCCATGGATTCCGCAAATGTGGAAAAAGTAATGGCCGGCTTGTGTCGGCAGGCCCACGGTACCGGAATCACCCGGCGCCGGGGCCCGACTCGGGCTGAAATCAGATCTCAGCCAAGAGAAGGACCTGCGCTCTGTCTTCTGGTTTTACAGACACCGTCCCTGATTGTTGGGATTATAGTCCGGCGTCCTTCACTGTGGGATTTTCTGCTTATTTATATTACCTGTCATGTGATTGACTGACACGAAACTGCTTTGAGCAGAACTGGACTTGTCACACAGTTCATGGTTATTCATAAAAAAAGGTTTCGGTGTTCAAAATTTCACTAATCAATACTTATTGGTTATAAATCCTCAGTTGACTTTGATAACTAGATACATGTACAGACGCTCCTAAGCTTACCATAGGGTAAGATGCTGATGAATCCACCATAAGTAGAAAATATAAATCGAATATGAATATGATTTGATAGATAGATAAACCACTTTTACCAATTAAGTAAATAAATAATTACTTTAACTAAATAACAGTAATTGAAAAGTAAATAAATTAATACAAGTTTATTTGATTATATAGAAAAGAACTCTATTGTACAACACGTTGTTAAACAGAGTATGAGATGTTTATGCTTGCAATCGCTACAGAAACATGAATGCTGTCATCGGCCAGCATTGATACAAAGTATCCTACTGCGTATCACTAGCACGGGAACAGATGAAAATTGAAAGTTTGATGACCGCTGAATAGGCATCACTATCGCACCATCGTAAAGTCGAAATATCGTAAGTCGAACCACCGTAAAGTGAGGAGCATCTGTATATACATATTAAAATGTAACATTACACACCAGACATCAACACACTGAGTAGAGGTTGGTCTATTTTTACTCGTTTTAATTCCGATTCGAGTAATTGATTGTTACTGCCGGTTATCAAGGAATAACAGTAAGAATACAAAACAGTCAGTGTGAGGTATCATCTTTGGCTTTAGAGTGGTTTGTGACCCGTGGCGAATGCATTAAGCCCAGCAAACGTCTTCCATTTTCCCCCGCACTTGTTATTACAGCTGGGGGGAGAGCAGCTGCAGGTCTCGTGGAGCAGGGAGGGGCTGTCCTGACACACGTGCCAAGTCCAAAATGTAACCCAACCTGCAGTGGCAAGCTGACTTTTGCCCTCGACGAGCAGTTGGAGGACAGCAGATCGACAGCTCAGGAGCCACCTGTACGCTGTAGGATCTCCCCCATTCTGCCTCTCCTTCCTATAAAACCCTCATTCCAGTATCCACTCCTTCTCTTTCTTGTGTTCGCTGCCCCCCTACTCTCTCTCCTCATCCCATTATAGGTCTTGAATCTTTCTCACTGTCTCCAGGACATGTGTACCCCTTATGTGTACCTGTGAATCCAAGCATATCAATCTTGGTAGAAGCTGGTCCTCAGCAATACTCTGGACAGAAACTCATCCTCCTCGATACTCGATACTATGTCTTCATCCATACAACAGACAGAAGCTCATCCTCAACAGTACTCTGGGCAGAAGCTATTCCTCAGGGATACTTTGGGCAAAAGCTAAACCTCAGTGATGCTCCAGAAAGAAGCTGAGGACTCAGTCATATTCTGGCCTGAAGCTCATCCTCAGTCATACTCTCACCTGAAGCTCATCCTCAGTCATTCTCTCACCTGAAGCTCATCCTCAGACATAGTCTGTCCTGAAGCTCATCCTCAGTCATACTCTGGCCTGAAGCTCATCCTCAGTCATACTCTCACCTGAAGCTCATCCTGTCATACTCTGGCCTGAAGCTCATCCTCAGTNGTCATACTCTGGCCTGAAGCTCATCCTCAGTCATACTCTCACCTGAAGCTCATCCTGTCATACTCTGGCCTGAAGCTCATCCTCAGTAATACTCTCGCCTGAAGCTCATCCTCAGTCATACTCTGGCCTGAAGCTCATCCTCAGTCATACTCTCGCCTGAAGCTCATCCTGTCATACTCTGGCCTGAAGCTCATCCTCAGTAATACTCTGCCCTGAAGCTCATCCTCTGTCGTACTCTCGCCAGAAGCTCATCCTCAGACATATTCTGGCTCATCCTCAGCAATCAGGAACCCATGCAACTTGAAGCTGCAAAGGTGAGGTCGGCGCACAGATAGAGAACTTAAAGTTAACGCCTCGCAAGGGTGTCTAAATAAGGCCCACTGCACTGACTGCCAGCTATGATCCTGGGGATTATATTTAACCACACATGCATGTCAATGGAGAAGCAGGAGGCTGGAATTCACTATGGAATGAGTGTCATTAAATGTCATCAGAATTACCAGTGGTCACATGACATTGTTTCTCCACTCCATGTCACTGTTCTGCCACTCATATTTAGCTGAAGAAAGATTATATAAGCCCTATATATGGCAGAGCACGCCTGACTGCCTCATTCCAGTGAGGATTGCAAACATCCCGTACACAGCAGAAATCTTGCAGGATCAGAGTTTAGAGTGGAGCCTTTTAAAGTGAAATTGCCAGCGAGCACAGGATAGTATGGGAAGTGTCCAGTGCGAAAGCGTAGCTGCCCTGCAGAGGAGCCATGTACGGAGTCTGCAGGGAGGCTTCAGGATGACCCAGGGCGGACTGCACCATGGTCCAGGGGCCAGATACAGGTCATAGCTGGCCGAAATGCTGCCATGCACCACGGTCCAGGGGCCAGATACAGGTCATAGCTGGCCGAAATGCTGCCATGCACCACGGTCCAGGGGCCAGATACAGGTCATAGCTGGCCGAAATGCTGCCCTGCAAAATACAGCCAGATGTGATTAATCTTTTCCCATAAACAGGAAGTAGAAGTCTGGTCACCTGTTAGCCCAGATGGAAAATTCATAGCAAATGTTACCAGGGAACCTCCTACATGAATCCACAATGGACTGAAGGTTCAGGGTGTGCAACAAAAAGATTTAAAAATGTTTTATATGTCCAGGATAAACCATATTCATGGAATCCACCTCTATACATGCAGCCTGAAAATGCATATCAGTTTTACATTAAATGTGTCCTAAACTCACAGTGTTTACAAATACAGTTGTTCAGTGCGCAGAGTTGGTTCTGACAGGGGATGCACTTCACAAATAAACAGGCTTGGTCAGGTTTGGGGTTGAAGTCTGCCGGCTGTTCAAGCTGAACAATTCGCGGAGCTTTTGGTCGGCTGACACCATCGTGAGGATGGTCATTCATCATGCCGCCTCAGCTTGAATTGTCCATTTTTTTTTCGAGGCAAAGCATGGAATTTTCTCTCAAAAAGCATCACAAGCAAATTTAAGTGGACAAAAACTATTAACCTTCTCAGGAGTGTTGACTCACGGTAAATAAATAAGTGAAATTCGTGTTTTGCTTTTGGCTTCGCTATAAAAACATTTTAGAAAATAAAATCGATGTACTAAAACTGCTTAATGTTTCTACAAATATATTACAAATGAAAATATTTTGTAGGGTTGACACTGGTAAACTGGGAAATGTTGAAATATTACTTTCTCACTTTAAAAATATGATCCTAATCAGGGGCGTTGCTAGAGATTTTGGGCCCCATGAAAGCATATCATATTAGGCCCCCCAGTCCAAACCAATCCAGTTATTTTCCTAATTTTTTAGGGCCCCTGTCACTCAGGGGCCCTTGGAATCGTCCTAGCTTTCCTCCCCCTTACGGCGCCCCTGATCCTAATTATAAATATTAAAACATAAAAGTATACCAATGAAAGCTCAAGAACTGAGTTTAAGTTACCACAGATATAGAACATCAAACACGTGTGCCAGTTTATCCTTGTCTCACCTAAATAATATTCACCCTGCCATCGTACGCAACTACACACAAACACAGAAAGTCTGGATGAGAAAAGAAATATTTGCATTCTCCCGCATTCTGATAAATTTTGCAACATAACTCATGGCAAGAACTTGCTGATAAGCACCACATGACAGCTCAGCGTGCGTCATACAAAAATTATCTCATTCAGTATAAAACAACAAAAGTCCGCTTTTTTGTATGACGTATTTCGCTGTTTTGCGATGGGGACCGACGTTTTCCAAAGCGCTTGTTTTCAGCGGGAAGCACGCATGTACCTCCTCGTAAGAAGGGCTCCGTGGATCAGACTTAGTGCGCCTGACATCCTATACAAGAACATAATGCAGCTGACATAATCCCCGAGACATCCCAAATTCGCCGTCCGAAACCAGAGAAGCCTTGCTTTGAACATATAAGCTTAAGTTTGGTCATTACCGACTTCTGATGGTGGTTAAAAAAGTGGGATAATATGGGAGGACGGACTTTGGGGACGTCAGCAGGCTGGACAGTATAAATCCTTCAGGGTCTGTGTATCTCCAGAGAAGATGTGGTGTTTAGGCAGACAGACGCTCACCAGCGGACTCCGGTAAGCGACCACAGTCTGGAGTTACAAAGCAGCCTGGGCTGTGCCGTGCTGGGACACGGACGGATCGGATTGTGGATGTACTGCTTGGCAGCACTTTGCTGGATTTGCTTTTCCTGTTGAAGCCGCTCAGATGTTAAGCTCTCTGGCCGAGGCTTGGCTGCCAGGTGCTGCTGACCGGACCACCGATGCATTCTTTTGACTGGCGCTTCTTCTTATTCCCCTTCCCAGCGTGGGACGCAGCATCCATTTACTGTGCAAGTGAGCTTCAGGTCCAGGAGACCCCGGGGTCCCTCGGCTGAGGGGGAAACACATACGCGACATTACACGCCGGAGGATTTTGTTCTCCCATGCGCCTTTGGACACAGAGTATCAGGTCAATACGCACGCCGTAGTCTGGATAACGAGACGCAGTTTGAAACATCTCCAGGATCTGGGGCATAAGATGGATGATTAAATGCATGCTGACCAGTTTTCTGGGAGGACAGCTGGTCTGAATGGGACCAATTTAAGGTGAGTTGGAAGTCCGTACCAGCATTTAACGGGTCCGCCATGGGTCGGTAATGGTCTGTTTGTCTTCCATTTGCGCCATATTCACAACTATTATTTTTATCTTGTCCCTTTAGCTGTGGAAGTACTGCCTTTGGCCGTATTTAAGTTAAGGTTACTTGGAACATCTGAAGAAACAGCCCTGAATTAAAAAGACGGGAATGCCTCATTACTTGTGTTTCTAAGTAAGTGTAATTTCTTTAAGGAGTTAAATTATCCGGATTAATCATGACCAGAAAGGCGCTGTTTTCCTTTAACACATATCCGCAATGATCTGCGTCCGGGCGGGTACGAATACATTTAAAAGCATTTATCCTGCTTAGTGCGCTTCCATCAATGCCGTCGGAGCGCAGGTTGAACGCCTCCCGCAGCGCGCCCATGGTCGTGCGGGTCCCCGGTCTTGCGGGTCGAACGCTTCCCAGCGCGTCCCTGGCTTCAAGCGTACGAGTTGGGAACGTCCCCTATCTGTCGTGCCCAGTGGCCAAAGAAGTGCACACTGGTGTGTTTTATCGCATTCATTCGGCTGGTAGAATCATTATCCAGAGATCTGAAACTGTTAAATATTTAGGAGATTTAAAAAGCGAGCCGTAAACGCGATATTGTGCCCAATAAGGGGAGGTATTGGTGGTAATGTGACGCAGAAGGATGCAATTACGAGGTTTCACACATTCAAATTACCGTCAAAAATGCTGGGCAGAAATGTAAACAGTATTTCCTGTATTTCTAAAATAACATGACGTTTAAAGTGCCTGTTAAAAAGAAGGGGGTGTTAAATTCCGTCGTTTCTTTAATTCTTGTAGTTGTGAACAGGAGCATAAAAACGCATGTCATGGGAGGGCCTTTTCACCGTGCTGCACCTTAAACAGCTCCCGTAAGACTAATAATGATACTTATGCGTTTCCTTAAATTGTGAACTGCATCGATTTCTGGGACAAACACTCATGTTTATTAGCTCTAAGCCCAAGAACAGCCCGCGTGCCGTGACCAGGCGCATACCAGGACACAAACGGGCTTAATTAACTATAGTTCATTACAAATTACAGTGTGGCAATCCTGCATCTATTAAAACAGGCAGCCAGGGGGAAGTTTACGAAGTCCAAGTTAAATAAATGCCAGCCCAGGACCTGGTTACTTAAAGACTTAAAGTCTCGCTACGGAATCATGAGACTTTTTTTTTCTTTTTTCTTTCTTTAGTGTGGTTGGCTTCATCTAGTGATAACATCATAAACTTGAACAAGTGTCCTGTTCAGAGAAACACTTGGCAAAAAGGATGCCTGGTACCTGGATATTCGACTGTGTCCCCTGCTTGCGCTGGGCTCCAGGCCCATCATTAGGACATTTCCTCTCCCCCTGCCATTTATAACGTCAATCCATATTATTCAGCTCTAAGGCCAGAAAACCTTCTTGACTAGGCACCCCCCCCCCCCCCCCAAAAAAAAACGTTACTAGAGGTGTGTTAAGTAGGAAGAACAAAGGTGTCACTTTCCTGCAGCATTCCGGCATCCTGGCTCCTAATTACGCGGGTCCCTCTCTCACACAGTCCTGCTCCGCTGTAGCACCCTGTCACTCTCCCCCCATGCCAAGGAACAGAGGCTCCCGTAAAGCGCACTGAGCTGTCAGCCCCCGTGTTCAGCGCTGACGTGCTGCTGCAGTGGTTTGCATTTTGTTCTGCTGGCTGTTATCAGCACATCTTCGAAGCAAAAATGCATAACCCCGAACTCACACGTGTGATTTACCGAGGAGCTCCGAGGTGTAACTCACCGTGGCCTGTCTGCAGGAACCGTTACTGGAACGGCATCTAAAATGAAGTTATGGGACATTCTGGCCCTGTGTGTGTCGCTGGGCGCCGTGTCCGCCAGACCCGCCAGACATCGCCTGCCAGCAGAAAATCACCTTCAGGTCCTGGAGCTGAAGCCTGAGAGAGGACATCTGGCGATGGAGGGTACCTGGTCCGAGTACCAGCAGCGAGGTCAGGAGAACCTGCAAGAACCTCCCTCTTCCAAACTGAGTAAGTATGTGTGTCTTGTCGTTTGCCTCTTCTGCTAATAATGACATGTAATGATGTGTGTGCGTGTATGTATGTATATGTGTGTGTATATATATATATATATATAAATAAAAGCAAAAAAGAAATGTATAGGAATCCCTGAAAAAAGATAACATGCACTCCTGTGTAACCCGGGTGACCAACGTCAGAACCGGACCTGGTTCTGTAAGCAGACAGGTCCTGAAGTCGTGGTACTGTGGAAGTTCACAGGATCTGTGGCGTCGCCCTCGTCGGACCACCTGAAGCTGGCCTGTGGATTATTTATTGGGAAATCAGTGAGGCTTCAGGGAGAACCTGTCATCAGTAACGCAGCCCGAGATGGAGCCACCGGGTCCTGCACCGCGGGCAACCGTTTGATCACCGGGGTGCCGAGGTCGTAGCCGTACATCTTACAGGTCGACCTGCACTAGCCTTCGCTGGGTCTCTGGGATCTGGGCTGTCCCACCAAAGCTCTGCATATCTGTCAGGGAGCCAAGCTATTGCAAAGAACTGGAAACAGATGTGGATCTGAAGGACACGCCACTCGGTGCTTGAAAAGTTCTTCGCCCGGTTCAGACGGAGGCCCGCTAGTGTTTATGTTCATTTTAGCGGCCGTGAGGGCTAGGAATTTCATTTGTTTAGAGGAACCTGGTGCTGTCCTGTTCCAATCCGGCTGTTGGCTTGTAAGGTTCTTTACGAGCAAGGGAAGATTTTATAAGGTATTATTAGCCCTTCTGTGTCCAGGGAGCGAGATCTCGAAGAAACGTTCAGCTGAAGGAGACCTTGCTTTGGGTGGTTAGGGTTACCTGCAGCCCTAGGTGTTTGCTAAGGGATGCAAGCAAGCCGTTACTTGGTGGACAGCTGGACACGCACCCAGAATTATGTTGGGTCACCCCAGCTCTGGCTATCGTAGAGCAGGGTCTCTGTCTGCCTGTCCGAGGCCCCGTCCGACCACCCCCACCCGAGGCTGACATGGCCGCCGGCCCAGGCGGGTGTGAGACCTGCCATATCCTGGTGGATTGCATTTCTAAGTCGCCAGGCAGTGGGGCAGGTGACACGTCCCACAGAGGGCTCAAATTTTCACACCTTGGCTGAGCAGACAATAGTGTCACCCCCTCATCTTTGGTGTTATATAGATAAGTGAGTCAGAGAGGCCAGTCAGGCCAGCAAGGTGACCCCCCCACTATGCTGACACACATGGGCTGCGGTTGTAGTCATTACGTCTGTCACCTTTGTCACTGGCGGTAGAATACTGAGGCCACATGACCCCTCTTTATGTGTTGCTTCTGAAAAACATCCCAGACCATATTTGGGTAAACAGGGTGTTTGCTATCAGTGTGGGTGGATCTCTTACGGAGAGTCCTTGCTTATGGGGTAACATGGTGACATGGTGTATTCTATCCCCACAGTCTCAGCCAGTCCGCTGTACCCCGGGCAGCTGGAGGACGTGATGGATTTCATTCAGACCACCCTCAGTAGACTGCCCCGCGCCTCAGAGTGGGATGAGAGCACCTGGGCCATAGGGCAGCGTGGCCGGCGGAGGGGCGGGGCCAGCCGAGACGGAATGGGACGAATCAGAGAAGAGAAAAAGAAAGGGCGGAGCCATGGGAGGAACAGGAGGCGGGGTCAGGGGCAGGTGGGGGGCGGCGGCAGTGGCTGCGTGCTGAAGCAGGTTCACCTGAACGTGACGGACCTGGGGCTGGGCTATCGGACTAAAGAGGAGCTGTTGTTCAGATACTGCAGTGGGCCCTGTGCGGATTCAGAGACCAACTATGACAAGATCCTGAACAACCTGAGCCACAAGAAGAAGCTGACCCCGGACAACCCGGCTCGTACCTGCTGCCGGCCCATCGCCTTTGACGACGACCTCTCCTTCCTGGACGACGACCTGGTTTACCACACGCTGAAGAAGCATTCCGCCAGGAAGTGTGCCTGCATCTGACCTGTGGCTGGCCAGTGCGTACCGTTCATAACCAAGGCTGCTGCTATCTTTTTCGGGAGAAAAGGAACAACCATTTACACCACCTGTAGGGGGCAGCGGATGTCCCTGGACAGAACCCCCGGAAATGAAATGTGTTTCAGCTGCGGTGTCGGCACGGAGGAGATAAGATGAAAGGACAGCAGAAACGTCACACACACCTTCCCTGAAAAGGGTGCTGAGGGATTATTGGATTGCACCTGTTGAGAGTCATGCAGCATGGAACGGATCTGTTTACACGCACGGTCATTCTGAACTCACCATAAAAATCCAACTCTGATACAGCAACTCGAATTCCTACCTACAAAAATATATAAATATTTATTTTATTTACATTGAATTAACTTATTGATATTTATTATAGTCCATTTTATAAAAGTGAAAGTGTTTTTGTTTTTCTTATTTATTTGAGCTTTTTGCTTCGATCACTGCCAAAGAGGACACGGTTTGGGGGCTGACCAGTGAAGCGGCCTGACCTTAACAGCATTTAGCCGTAAGGAAGCTCTGTCTGGCCATCAGAGTACAGAGGGGGCACCTCAGAAACAGCACTGTGCACAGAGCTGGAAACCAAAGCCAGGCAGCCTGCAGGCCCCTCTCTGATATGCCAGCCAGAATTGCAGGTCCCTGACAGACCAGCCAGAACCATACGACCAGTTGCTGATAGGCTAGCCAGAACCACGTGGCCTGTCGCCAATAAGCAGAATTGCAGGTCCCTGATAGACCAGCCAGAACCATACGACCAGTTGCTGATAGGCTAGCCTGAAACACGTGGCCCGTTGCCGATAAGCCAGCCAGAACCATGCGGCTCAGTGCCAATAAGCCAGCCAGAACCACACAACCCATCACCGATAGGCCAACCAGAACCACACAACCCATCACCGATAGGTCAGCCAGAGCCACGCAGCCCATTGCCGATAGGCCAGTCACAACCATGTGGCCCGATGCCGATGGACTGTGTGGTTCTGGCTGGCCTATCGGCGATGGGTCGCATGGTTCTGGCTGGCTTATCGGCATTGGGCCCAAAGGTTCTGGCTAGCCTATCAGCAACTGGCCGCATGGTTCCACCAGGCTTATCGGTGATGGGCCACGTGGTTCTGGCTAGCCTATCGCCGATAAGCCATGCAGATCTGCAGGCCTCTCACTGATACACCAAGCAGAACCACATAGCCCATTGCTGATAAGCCAGCCAGAACTGCAGGCCCCTCACTGATAGACCAGCCAGAACCACGTGGCCCCACGCCAAAAGGCCAACCAAAACCATGTGGCCTGTAGACGTCAGGCCAGCCAGAGCCACATGGCCTGTCGTCGATAGGCCAGCCTGAACCTTGCGGCCTGTCGCCAAAAGGCCAGCCAGAACCACGTGGCCCATCGCCGATAGGCCAGCCAGAGCCCCGCAGTCCGACGCAGATAGGCCAGCCAGAACCACATGGCCCATCGCCAATAGGTTAGCCAAAACCTTGTGGCCTGTCACCGATAGGCCAGCCAGAACTATGCAGTCCGAGACCGATAAGCCAGCCAGAACTGCAGGACCCTCACTGATAGGCCAGCCAGAACCAAGTGGCCCATCGCCAATAAACCAGCCAGAACCACACGGCCTGTTGCAGATAGGATAGGCAGAACCATTGCCTGTGGGCCGGCCAAAATCATGCAGCGTGCCCCCAATAGGCCAGCCAGAACCATGCAGCTTCCTGCTGATAGGCTGGTAAGAATGGTGCAGCCCCTCACTGATAGACCAGCCTGCAGTAACCATTCAGCCACAGGTTTTGTCTTTGGAGTGTAACGTGAAATACAGTGACGAGTTTCCCTTTGACCAGCTTCTGTCCCCCAGTGGCTCATGCCAGGGTACAGCCGGGTCACGAGGTGAGAGGGAGCGCAGAGGGGCATCCGACACCACATCTACCCCTCCCCGTCCCCCTAGAGTACGGCTCTGCGGAAAGGTGTGCATTACCGCACCCATGACAGTCCCCGCCCCCCGCTTTCAAACGCCCTTTAATGTGGTTCCTCTCCCTCCCCAATGTTTAACATTCCAATCTGAGCAGGTATCACTCACCAACAGGTGAGCCAAAGCTGTCGATCGACAAATCCATGAAACAGCGCAACAGGACCCTCCCAGCACGTCCGCCTGCACAAATCCCTCTTTCAAATCCCTCTTTCCACGGGCTCTTTTGATACATTGTGTTTTTTCAAATTTGGACATTTTGAAAATATTTCTAAATGTCAGGGATGTGATGGATGGCAGATGGGGCCACAGGCCTGTCAAACCTCAGACCGCCATGTCCGCCCCCCCCCCCGCTGCCGCCCCAGGCTGCTGCTTCCAGATGCTGTGCGGTAATGTGACTGCAGATGGCGACTCACTGTGTCACGTCCCTCCGCCACACACACGCCAGGGCCGTGACCGCGAGGCGTGCTGCAGATAGCGCCTCTGGCACTGATGATCACACGTGTGTAACAGGCTGAACCAAAGCTCTCCGCGCTATTTTTGTACAATATACATTTTGTATTTTTTTAATGGAATTAAATTTGTTCCTATGACTGCCAGTGGTACTCGTTTCCACCTGCCTGTCTGAATGCGCCCGGCGCTGGATGCTGACCGCCAACCTTCACCCCAAGACAAATTTTCAGCACAGCGGGAGGGTTAGGTTTAGGGTTAGGGTTACCCAGGGGGTGCAGCACAGAGCGCCATAGTGCCTAGCTGGCTACATTCTTGCTTCCTCCTCCAGACCCCTACAGTAAACACAGGCTGGCTCTAAGCGCATAGCTAGCAGTAAATCTGGGCACCGGGGCCAAATGGCGCGAATACATTAGTGAAGCATTGATAAAGCGTCGATAAAGCGTGTCAGGACCCTGCCAGCTGCCTTTCTGAAGGGCATGTCGCTCGCTGATCCCCCTCTGCCCCCACTGCCAAAATCACCACCCTTCAGTTCCACCTATCACTGGGTGGAGTCTCTCATGCCGCTTTCTATTTAACGGAAATCGCTGTCAAATCCTCCATCTTTCACAGTAAAGACACTGTCTGGCTTGTCCTGGGCTGCAGTCACACAAAGCACAGATGTTGGGACACGGCCGCAGTTTCAGCAGGTCCTGGGGTCACCAAGCCATGCAAGGCGATCGGGCCGGGCCGGGAGCGGCCGCTTGCCCTCCAGCGCCGTGTCAGCTTACACAGGGCCGTACCCACTGCTAAACCCAGAGGATGACAGCAGTGCATGCAGAGGGCTCATGACATCACCTGCCCAGCACTCCTGCACTGCATGTGACATCATCACTCAGAATAGGAGCCGCTGGATTACGATGAGGCTGGATACGCAGGCTTAAGTTACCTAACATTACGGCCTGCTTCTTTTAACCTATTTTGGGCTTCATTTACCTGGGTGGATGGTTGTGCTGAGTGTACTTGCACCCCACGTGAGTAAGTCAGAGAGGCCGTATTGGGTGAGCTCTGGAATCACAATGCCACAGGGAAGTCAACACCATTACTTTGAACGCGATGCAGTAGGAGGCGCTGTGGTCTCCGGTCTCTTGTTGACCAGTTCAGATCGTCCCTGCTCAATGAGATTTGTTTCCACTTTTGAAAAAGGTTTATTTTAAAGGGTCATTTCTTGCCAAGCAGTCTGAAGCCACAGTATGTCAATTTAATGTCGAGATATCACAGTGTTCCCCTGGTGCACCCCAGGGTCTTGTTAAATTGTGAAAAAGTGCACAATCACCCCGCACAACAGAGGTGCACTGAGGTCTGTGCAGGAGAAAGGCTGTAACTTCAAATATTTATCTGATCCCAAAGTGTCACCAGTAAGGTTTGCCATGTCTGGCACAGAGCAGCTCACGGTGAACAGGATTCCCAGCAGGAAGCAGTTATGTATACGTGTTTGGAATGGAGATGGGACCTTCCAGAAGCTTCTGACGGTCATCTGGAATCGAGAGTGAGCGTACTGCACAGGCCACACGCTCCTCTTACAGTGCAAGAGGCCACAAGCCTCAGAGTCTGAGGATCGACTGCAAAGTGACCAGCAGTCAGTTATGAATGCAGGGATCAGTAAATGGGTGACTTACTGAGTGCCAGAGGGGACATAACTAGGTCTGATCAAAGGCAGCAAAGTTTTAATGATTTACTTGACATTTTTAAAACACTGAGCTGAGATGGCAAGCTGAGACACATTTGGGTTACGGAAGAATAAAGGATTCAGGAGGGAGGATTTAACATGCTGGGAGTGACACCACACACACACACACACACACACACACACACACACA